TCACAGATGTGTACCACCATGCCCGGCTAATTTTTATATTTTTGTAGAGTTGGGGTTTCGTTATGTTGACCAGACTGGTCTTAAATTCCTGATCTCAGGTAATCCGCCTGCATCGGCCTCCCAAAGTGCTGGGATTACAGGCGTGAGCCACAGCATCTGGCCATGTGTTTGGTTTTGTTTTTACATAAAGACGGGTCTTGAACTCCTGAACTCAAGCGATCCTCCTACCTCAGTTACTGAAGTGCTGGGATTAAAGGCAGGAGCCAATGTGCTCAGCTCCCATCTCTACTTTTAAATAACAAACATGTATATGTATAACTTTCATCTTCCTTTCTCTCTCTCTCTCTCTCTCTCTCTCTCTCTTTCTTGACAAGGTCTTGCTCTGTCGCCCAGGCTGGAGGGCAGTGATGCCATCATTGCTCACTGTAGCCTCAACTTCCTGCTTCCTGGGCTCAAGTGATCCTCTTGCCCCAGTCTCCCAAGTAGCTGGGACTACAGGTGCGGGCCGACATATCCTAATTTTTGTATTTTTCATAGAGACAGGGTTTTACCATGTTGCTCAGACTGGTCTCGAACTCCTGGGCTTAAGCAATACGCCTGCCTCAGCCTGAGTGAAGAAGGGACTGCGGGGTTTCACTGTGTTGCCCAGGCTGGTCTCGAGCTCCTGCACTCTCAGGAAATCCACTCACCTTGGCCTCCCAAAGTGCTAGGATTACAGGCATGGGCCACCGCGCCCGGCCACATATACTAAAACATTATACAGAGGTTAGCATGGCCCCTGAGCAAGGATGACATGCAAATTCGTGAAGCTTTCCATATTTTTGTGATTATACAATTGCATGTCTGTATCAAAATGCCTTGCAACACATAAATATATACACTTACTATGTACCCAGAAAAATTAAAAATGATTTTTTTTTCTTTTGAGACGGAGTCTGGCTCTGTTGCCCAGGTTGGAGTGAAATGGCCAATTCTGGCTCACTGCAACCTCCACCTCCCAGTTTCAAGTGATTCTCCTGCCTCAGCCTCCTGAGTAGCTGGGATTACAGATGCACACCACCACACCTGGCTAATTTTTGTATTTTTATTATAATAGAGACAGGGTTTCACCATGTTGGCCAGGCTGATCTTGAACTCCTGACTTCAGGTGATCTGCCCACTTCAGCCTCCCAAAGTGCCGAGATTACAGGCATGAGACATCACGCCCAGCCCTTGGAATTCTTTGTCATTAGCTTCTGTAATTGTCCTCTTTCATAGTCCAATGTAAGCTCCAGGATGGCTGGGGTTTGTTTTGTGTACCTCTGTATCACCAGCCGGATGAAGTCAACAGTGGTTAAAAGAATCAAGGGCAGCTCAGAAACTATATCAAGTGAGGGAAGAGGGAGGTTTCTGACTTGAGTGCTGATGACACAGAGATGGAAACCTGGGGGAAGCAGGGCATCAGATCTCGAAGATGACTTAATTTCTGGGATATCTGAGGTGCTTGGGGAGAGATCTAGGAGAGGTGCGATAGGCATGTCTAGAAAATATTTAACTGTGCAGGGCGTGGTGGCTCATGCCTGTAATTGCGGCATTTTGGGGGGCTGAGGCGGGTGGATCACCTGAGGTCAGGAGTTCGAGACCAGGCTGGCCAACATTTAGTGTGACCCATCTCTACTAAAAATACAAAAAATTAGCCGAGCATGGTGGTGCATGCCTGTAATCCCAGCTACTTGCGAGGCTGAGACAGGAGAACGGCTTGAATCCGGGAGGTGGAGGTTGCAGGGACATGAGATTGCGTCATTGCACTCTAGCCTGGGCAACAGAGCAAGACTGTCTCAAAAAAAAAAAAAAAAAAAGAGAAAGAAAATATCCTGAGAGTCACTCTCAAATGCCTATAGGGGTCAGAGAGGTAGCCTGAATAGTGACTGTGGTGTACTCCAAGACAACAGAGTGGAGGGAACAGTGGCAATCTGGTGAGAATATGCCCCATCTCAAAGGAAAGAAAGGAAAGCCATGGGAGTAAGCAGGTCTAGTGACCATAGATTTTTGGATTTTTCAAGGGAAGCTGAAAACAAGGACTTCCATGTGAAATCTTGTCTGCAGGCCAACTTTCACCTTCTGGTCACCTGTTTCTGACTTCTGTTGGAGCAATCTAGGCTTGAGCCTTCCCTAGACGTCCTGGGTATGTGTGGTGGTGGCAGGGAATGCTGGCTGCATATTTCCTAAGGCAACAGGTACACTTATGGGCCAGGCACAGTGGCTCACACCTGTAATCCCAGCACTTTCGGAGGCTGAAGCAGGAGGATTGCTTGGGGCCAGGAGTTTGAGACCAGCCTGGGCAACAAGGCAAGAACCCTGTCTCTATAAAAATTTAAAACTAGCCAAGTGCAGTGGCACAGGCTTGTAGTTCCAGCTACTCAGGAGGCTGAGGCAGGAGGATCATTTGGGAATAGGAGTTGGAGGCTGAAGTGATCTGTGATCGCACCACTGCACTCCAGCCTGGTCAACGGAACGAGATTGCCTCAAAAGCAAAACAAATCTGGGTGTGGTAGATCACACCTGTAATCTCAGGACTTTGGGAGGCCCAGGGGGTAGATGGCTTGAGTCCAGGAGTTTGAGACCAGCCTGGGCAACATGACAAAATCCTGTTTCTGCAAAAAGTACAAAAATTAGCTGGGCGTGGTGGTGCATGCCTACAGTCCCAGCTACTCAGGAGGCTGAGGCGGGAGGACTGTTTGAGCCCAGAGATGGAGGTTGCAGTGAGCTGAAATCATACTACTACACTCTAGCCTAGGCGATAGAGTGAGACCCTGTTTCAAAAAAGAAAAAAAGCAGGCAAACTTAGAATAAGACCATGCAGTTAATTCTATAGGAGCTCAGGTAGGCGCCAGCTGGGGCAGCCCACCTTAGTAGTGACTTGCTTTTTTTTTTTTTTTTTTTAAGACAGAGAGAGTCTCGCCCTGTCAGCCAGGCTGGAGTGCAGTGGCACGATCTCAGCTCACTGCAACCTCCACCTCCCGGATTCAAGTGATTCTCCTGCTCAGCCTCCTGAATAGCTGGGATTACAGGAGTCAGCCACCATGCCCAGCTTTTTGTATTTTGTAGTAGAGATGGGCTTTCACCATGTTGACCAGGCTGATCTTGAACTCCTGACCTCAGGGATGCACCTACCTCAGCCTCCCAAAGTTCTGGGATTACAGGCGTGAACCACCACGCATGCCCTTACTTCGTGTTTGTGTCACATTTTGTTAAATCTCACATTATCTTGAACTTTTCCATTATTGTATCTGTTACAATGATCTGTGATCTTTGACGTTACTATTGTAATTGCTTCGGGGTGCCACAAACAGTGCCGATGTAAGAGGGCGAACTCAATGAATAAGTGTGTGTTGACTGTTCTCTCTCTCTGCTTGGGCCTCCCTCTTCTCAGAGACAATATTCAAACTAGGCCAATTAATAACCCTACAATAATGGCCTCTAAGTGTTCAAGCGAAAGGAAGAGTCAATCAAGGAGGCAAAGTTTCTTGTTGTCAAGAAACTGCTGTCACCCCAGCCTTCAGCGACCACCACCTCAATCAATCAGCAGCCATCACCAATGAGGCAAGACCCTCCACCAGCAAAAAGATTACGACTTGCAAAAGCTCAGATGATTGTTACCATTTAAAAAATTAAGGTATGTCCCTGTTTTCATAGACATAACACTATTGCTCACTTAGACTGCAGTATTGTGGAACAGGAACTTTTTTTTTTTCCTTTTTTTTTTTTTGAGACGGAGTCTCACTCTGTCACCCAGGCTGGAGTGCAGTGGCGCGATCTCAACTCACTGCAACCTCCACCTCCTGGGTTCAAGCGATTCTCCTGCTTCAGCCTCCTCAGTAGCTGGGACTACAGGCTCACACCATCACGCTTGGCTAATTTTTGTATTTTTGGTGGAGACGGGGTTTCACCATGTTGGCCAGAATGGTCTCGATCTCCTGACCACATTCACCTTAGCCTCCCAAAGTGCTGGGATTACAGGCGTGAGCCACCACGCCCAGTCAGAACCATAACGTTTACATGCACCAGGAAATGAAAAAATTCATGTGCCTCGCTTTGTTGCAGTGGCCTGTAATAGCTAGAAAAATAACTGGAGGAATTTCCCTGACAATTAACAGTGGTTGCCAGGTGTGGTGGCTCACGCCTGTAATCCCAGCACTTTGTGAGGCTGAGGCAGGCAGATCACCTGAGGTTGGGAGTTCGAGACCAGCCTGACCAACACGGAGAAATCCCACTTCTACTAAAAAAAAAAAAAATACAAAATTAGCCGGGCATGGTGGCACATGCCTATAATCCCAGCTACTTGGGAGGCTAAGGTAGGAGAATCGCTTGAACCCAGGAGGCAGAGGTTGCGGTGAGCCAAGATCACACCATTGCACTCCAGCCTGGGCAACAAGAACGAAACTCTGTCTCAAAAAAACAAAACAACACAAAACAGTAGTTATCCTCAAGAGGTGGCAAGAAGTGGGATGACGGGGGCACTTTCCCTCTGTGCTCTGTACTTGTGTGTTTGAATGGTTTTATATGACTATGTATTACTTCACAAAAAACAGAAAAATTTTAAATTATAGATCTTTTTTAACATACTCTGCCTGTGCAGACACGTGCGGGGAAACACATAGGACCTGAAGAATACACACAGAATGATTGACAGTGGTTACCTGGGGGAAGGGGATGGGGCTTGGGAAGGCTGGCAGGTGAAAGAGAAATTTAATGTTTTGCTCAGTGTCTCTTGCTGGGTTGCTTGAGTCCTACATATACTATGTATTCCTGGTTATAGAAAAATAATGTGAAAAACTTCAGTGCCCAACCCTCGAACCCATCCCTCCAGAAGTGGCAGACCTACTCACCCAGGCGGATGGGAGGGAGGAAAACCTTGGCAGGATATGCACAGTACTGTCCTAATCCCTTCCTTACCCCAGAACCCACACACCCCACCCCGGTTCAACCCACCCCACACACACTCAAAGAGGAGCCAGGGGTCTCATTGTAACACTCATTTTTATATAAATATCCGCAAGTCATGTTACAGAATAAGCCCCACCGGGGAAAAAAGTCAACGTTAGGGTTTTGTTAGATTGACCCCTGCCTTCTAGGTTGGGCCCCAGCCTGGAGGCGCCTGCTGCTTTGGGAAGGCTGGGGTTGCTGCCGTGAGGCTGCCGAAGAAGCTGCCTGTGTCGCCCACCCCTGGGCCGACCCCCTTCTTTGGTGTGTGGTACATGGTGACCTTCTCTGGCCACCCTTAGCCTGGGGCAGGGTTTTGGAGAACAGGGTTCAGGGAAGCAGGGCCCAGGAGTCCTGGGGGCACTTGGAAATGGGGTAAGGGGGACTGAGCCATTAAGAAGTGGTGGAGTCTGAGATTTAGAGGCTGAGCCTTTGAGGGTGGGGGCAGAGTGAATGGGAACATGTTGGGGGAACCAGGGCTGTAAGCCAAGCAGGAAGCTTCTGCCCTTCCCTCCAGCCCAGGTCCCCAGGTCCCGCCCCCTGTTGGTCATCTCCTGCTGGCCCCACCTTCCCAGGGAGAAGCCTGACTGTCCCTTCCCGGCTCTTCCCCCTGCTATCTCCCTTCCCCACAGAGAGGCCAGAGGCTAGGAACACAGCACCAGTCTGAGGATTTAATTAACCAGGAAGGGGACTGTTGGGAGGGGCACCCCTGTAAAAATGTACAAAAGGTCTTGGGGCTATGTGAAGGGAGTGATAAATATGTACATGGAACCCCCCTTCCTTAAGCCCCTCCTCCTCCAGCCCTCGCAGGGCATGAGGACTTGGGTGGTAGGTGAAGGGGAGGGGGCACTTTGGCCTCTGGCTTAGTGAGCCCTTGGGGAGACAGGCCCAGGGCCTAGAGGCCCTTAGAGGGGCAAAGGTGCACCTCAGGAGGCCCCATGGCCCCCGAGATGAGCCACACTCCCATGCACACGCCCCTCTCCCTCTCTAGAGGCTGACCTCTGCTCTCCCAGTGACTCTACACTCCATGTGATGCTTGGTCTCGTGGGGGTTGAGGCTTCTGTTCCCAGGTTCCATGACCTCAGAGGTGGCTGGTGAGGTTATGACCTTTGCCCTCCAGCCCTGGCTTAAAACCTCAGCCCTAGGACCTGGTTAAAGGAACGGGAGATGGAGCTTCGCCCCGACCCCTCCCCTCCCCTCACCTGTCAGCCCGAGCTGGGCCGGGGCCCCTAGGTGGGGAACTGGGCCGGGGGGCGGGCACAAGCGGAGGTGGTGCCCCCAAAAGGGCTCCTGGTGGGGTCTTGCTGAGAAGGTGAGGGGTGCCTGGGGCCGCAGCAGGTGGCGGTGGAGGAGCCAAGCGGCTGTAGAGCAAGGGGTGAGCAGGTTCCAGACCGTAGAGGCGGGCAGCGGCCACGGCCCCGGGTCCAGTTAGCTCCTCACCCGCCTCATAGAAGCGGGGTGGCCTTGCCAGGCGTGGGGGTGCTGCCAACCAGGTTGGCTCCAGGAAGCCAGCACAGCGATCTGGTGGGCTAGGGCCCAGAAATGGGGGCGGCCGGGGCCTCTCAAACAGCAGGTGAAGGCCCTGGGGCCCAGTGGCTGCTGCGGCGGCGGCGGCAGCGGCAGCAGCGGCGGCAGCGGCGGCGGCGGCAGCAGCAGCCTCCTCCTTTCGCTCTTCCTTTACCCGCACGGATTCCTTGGTTGGCCGAGGCCCCTCCTCGCCAGCCCGGGCCTTGGGAGTAGCAGGAGAAACTCGGAGCTGGGGCCGTGAGAAGGGGAGGTCCCTGGAGGGCAGGCGTGGGGAGAGAATGAAGTTCTCCAGAGGCAGCAGAGGCTGAGAGTGGGGCAGGGGCAGGGGCAGGGGCAGGGTGGGCGGGAGGCACACCTGTCCTTCTCCTCCTTGGTAATGGAGGGCTCCCTCCGCTCCACAGGCCGCTCCTTGTCTGAGCCTGGAGTCCGGGCGGCCTCAGGGGGCCGGACCCAGGCAGGAAAGGCCAGAGGACTGCGGTGCAGGCGGCCCCATGGGTCCGGCGGGGAGGCGAAAGCTGGTGGGGCCCCTGGGCTTTCTTTCTGGGCAAAGACGGCGCCGGAGTCTGGGCAGAGGGTGAAGCAAAGAGTGACAGGGGCCAGGAGTGGGAGGCCCCATTCAGGCCTCCTCCCAGACCCCGGTCTGAACTGTCACCCCGTGGCCGCAGTCCCCCAACCCCACCGCACCCACACTCACTGAATGTGGGGCTGCCCAGGCCTCCAAAGGCCCCGTTGGAGAGGGCAGCCAAGGAGGCGAAGCTTGTGGGACGCCCAAAGGGATCTGTGGGAGGAAAGGGGGGTGGTCAGAGCACTGGGCAGCCGGTGCTGAGCAGGCACCAGGCCTGGCTGGGCAGAGGCAGGACCAGTGCCTGGAGTCCTCAGCTGCCTGCTTTCAGCAGCCCTGTGCTGAGCACTTCCTTGGGCCAGGAAGGTATTGAGCTTTGACAAGCACCCTGTCGGTTTTCACAAAAAGCCCAAGAGGTGGTTAGGATCATGCCCACTTGAAGATGATGAAACAGGCTCAGAGAGGTGAAATGACTTGCCTGGGGTCATCTAGCTAGGGAGCAGTACCAACCCAGGGCTTCCTTGACATGAAGTCATGCTCTTCTCCCTGACTCCCCAACACCAGCCACCTGGACCCATCGCAGCAGATCTCCGCTCTGCAGCAAGCCACTCGCCTGAAGACCTTTTTGGCTTCCCCGCAACCTGACATGCAGGGCCCTTCCCGACCTGACCCTAACTTCATGCATGCAATGCGTCACACAGCCAGACAGAACAACTAACCTATCCCGCCACTAGAATGTCACCATGTCCCCAGCCAGGAACACCCTTCCTTCAAGCCACCAGGCTCAACTCCTCCTTGTCTACCCAAACCCAGGTGAAACCTCCCCAAGAAGCCCGCCAAGATCCTAGGAGTCAGTGGCCACGTTCTCCCCTGGGCCGGCACGGCCTCCCCACCTTCCCCTCCCAGGTGGTGTACTGCCCCTGCCACTGGCTACTGGGAGACAGGGCTCCAGCTGGCAGAGATTGAAGTCGCCCTGCTCTTCCCTACTCATTTTACAGATGAGGAAATCAAGGCTCAGAGGGGGTAGAGTAACCTGCCCAAGGTCACTAAGCAAGTGGAACCAGGTCTATCCCGCATTCCACCTGCCTGCTGGGTCTGATTTCCATCTCCTGGAAGTCAGGGACAAAGCCTAGGTTGCCCAACACGCCCTTGGCTCTTACCAATGTGGGTGCTGGGGCTCAGGAAGGGTCCGTGGGCCCCGGGAGCTGCCGTGAAAGGGTTGGCTGCAGCGTGGACGGCACCTGGGGCAGAGAGGTGGGAGATTCTGATGAGGCTGAGTGGGCACAAGCTGGGCCTTGGGCTACAGACAGGGAACCTCAGGCCCAAGGGGGCTGGCCAGACTCACCAGTCGCAGTGAAGAGGGAGGCCGGGTGGGAGAGCTCCTGCCCAGGGGGCAGGGCCCCATAGGGCCCCGGAAGGCAGGGCAGGAGGTCGTTCCGAAAGTCAAGCTTGTGGGAGTCACCCTGTGTGCGACACAGGGAAAGGGGCAGTACATGAGGAGCCGGTCTGGTCCCCCTCTTGCTCTCCCACGCGTGGTTCCCCTCCAAAGGCTGGCTGGCACCCAGATGGGGCTTGGATGCCTATCTTCTGCCTCTCTTGGAGCCTTCTCTGAGCAGCCTGCTAATGAGCCAGAGAACTAAGGTGCCAGCCATGGAACTGTTCAGCAGTGATGGGGGACAGAAGATGATGTTTCTGGCCAAGATTCTACTGAGCTCTGTTGAGGGCCAATGCCCAGAGCTCAGTCCTCCCCTGACTCTGAGACCCACTCTCCCCAGCCCTCCGGCCCCAGTACCTTCATTTTCTCCTGGTGTCTCAGGATCATGTAAGCCACACGCACGTGCATGGCACACCACTTCCCTGGTTTCTGCCGCCCCAGAAGGATGACCAAAGGGAAAGGGAAGGAAAGAACGTTCACTCATCATCCACTCCAGGCCTAGCTCTGGGCCCAGCCTCGCCACAAAACATCCCTACTCATTGTTCCTACAACCAAGGGATGACTAGGTTCATTTTACAGCCTAGGAAACTGAGGCTCAGAGAGATCAACTGCCTTGCCCAAGGTCCCATGGCCAGTTCCATCTGAGCCCAGGTCTGTGACTTAAAAGCCCTCACTCTCTGCTGTTCCACATCCGACTGCCTCCATGTTTTGGGCTTCTCACTTATTCCCAAGCAAGACCCCCCTTAACCAAACACCCTAACACCGGCCCCCAGCCTCATGCAGCCTGAGATTCTCACACAACTCACCCTCAAAGGTTGCCGGAAATGGTCGGGGATCTGGGGATGGCAAAGGAGAGATGGGAGGCGACTCAGACCCGAGTCCTGGGCCAGGTGCCTCACATCTCCACAGCATTCACTCACCCCCCACATGCCTGAGACACTGGGACTCCCTCAAACCCTTCCTGCTCAGGCCCAAACTCCTTTCCCCATCTCTCCCACTCTAGGCATCTCTCCTCCAGCACAAGGTTTCTGAGCCAAGCCCCAGGGAGGTGCCCTGCTGGGAGGCTGCGGGTGGTGAGGGGCAGTCAGGACAGGTTTCTCAGAGAAGCTATCCTATTACCAACTTTAGAGTATAGCGATCTGTTTAAGATTTCTTTAAGAAAAATGCCTTTGAAGGAAGTTGGAAAACCTCTGGCCTAGTCTTTCCTGTAGGAAACTGGTCCTGTGCGTTTCACAATGCTCCTGCAGCCTTGGGGTCTACGCTGCTGCAAGTGCTAAGGGGAGGGAGGGAGGCTCTGGCTCTCCTCACTTCACCAAGGGGCAGCTTATCTTTTGTTTTCCGAACAGGGCTTCCTAGTATGATGTCATTTGGAAAAAAAGTGTTTTGTGACTTTATTAAAAAGTTTGAAAACCACTACAAAAACCACTGTCCTAATCATCTTATTCCTGGAACAAGCTCATAAAACTCTCATTCCTCATGCCTGGGAAAGCCAGTTATTTACAGAAATTCCCTCTATTAGACACCCGGGAACACCCCTGATTGTGAATTCAAGGGAGGAATCAGTAGTTCACTCTCCTCAAGTCAGTTCTGTTCTCCCCGCAACACACCTTCCAGCTCCCCCAGGACCTGCCCTGGCCCCCTCACCTGTGTCCCCTTCTGGGAGAGCCCGCTCGGCACCGGCCCCAGTCGTGGTGGCAGCTCAGGGTTCGTGCTCTGGGAAAGGGGAGTGGAGGGATCAGAGAGGAGAGCTGGCACCGAGCACAAAGGGGTCCAGAACCAAGCTGGGACACGGGGCAGGGAGGGATCATGGCTTTGGAGAAACCTGGGTGCAGCAGGGCAGGGCAGGAGGATGGGCACGGCTTTGGGGAATGCGAGGAGGGTGCTCGGACACGGCGTGTCTGGGTATGTCAAGATGGGAGGCAGTGGTGGTGTCTGGACTGGGAGCTCACCTTGGGCTGGAAGGCCCCCTGCAGGGAGCCAAAGGAGACAGCCGGCGGGAGGCCCGGAGGCAGCCCGGGCACTGCGGGAGGGAAGGCCGTGTACGGCTGTGGAGAGAAGGGGACTAGTCCAGGTGGGGGTGGAGGCGCAGCCCAAGTCCAGCCTGCCCGTCAGTCCACAGGTCTCCACCGTAAAGCCCCCCAGGGAGCTCTCCCAGGCTCAAGGCTCTTGCTTTTGTACTGAAGACTGGACCCCAGCAGTCAGGGTCACACGCATGGATGCATCCACGCCCACACCACACACCCCACACACACACGCACACTCACATTATGTCGGAAAAGGCCTTCCATCTTTCCTGGATATTTCTCAAACTAGGGGAGAGAAGGGAAGAGTAAGCTGCCAGCCAGGGACCCAGGCCTTCCCCCAGAAGCCATGCCCTCCCCTGAGGCCTCCGAGCCTCATCACCGGCCCAATGAGGAGCTCACCATGTGGGGGCCGTGGGGTGGCAGCAGGCCTGGGGGATAAGGGGTGAAGTGCTGGTGGGTGTGCTGGTGGGTGTGCTGGTGCTGGTGGTTGTGCTGGTGGAACTGGAAGGCCAGGGGCCGGGCCGAGCCCCCTGCCCCCACCACCTCAGGGCCACCCTGGGCATTCAGGTAGCGAGAGTTCAGGTCCTGGCCGATCAGGTCCTGCTCTGTGGGAGGGGACGGGAGAAGGCTTTAATGCTGTCGCCACATCAGCCTCCTTGGGCCCAGGTGACTGCCTTCCCTCTGGCCTCAAGCCACTCCCTCCTCAAGCCCTGCTGTCTGCTGAGGCCGAGGTGCCCCAAAGCCAACTGGGCCGGAGCCCGGGGCCATGGCCCCCCACCCCCCGGCCAGGACCCCAAACTCACCAGAAAGGGCGTTAGCGGCTGAGGCCCCAGGGTGCCCTGGCACCTGCAGCAGGGGTGGGGGTGGGGGCAGGGTGGGGCCAGGGGAGAACAAGGAGGGGTGGTGGGGTGGTGGGGGGGGCCGCAGCCCGGGAGGGGGAAAGCTGTGGGTAGACAGAGGCAGGGGCAGTGAGGGCGTTGGGGGCCGGTGGGTGAGCTGCGCGGACGAGGAGGAGGCAGATGAGGAGGAGGAGGACGAAGAGGATGATGAGGGGGGAGGCTGAGCCACGGGAGGGGCCGGGGCCTTGGGGGGCGGCCGTGAAGAGCTGGGGAGAGAAGTGGGGAGATGAGTGAGGGGTTGGGAGGTGCCAGCTCTGACGGGCGGGGGTCAGAAGCCTGGGTGATACTGTGACCCTGGTTCTCCAACACGGGAGGTGGCAGAACCTGGCCCCAGGACCCCCCCTCCCCCAGGGAATCCATTCTCAGACTGAGGTGCCTCCCACACCCAGCAACCCCCACTTCTCCCTGTCTAGGTCTCTGCATCCACACAGCTGCCTCTGCCATCTCTGGCCAGATGACTTTCCCTTTCTGACTCAACCACGGCACAGAACAGATCATTCATGTTGACGCTTAATTAGAACAAGCCACCTGGGGTCCCCCACCCTACAACAGTGGAAGCAGCACCACACTGGCCTGGCCTGGGAGTCAGGAGACCTGAATTCTAGGCCCATCTTGCCATGAATGCCTGGGGTGACCTTGAGCAAGTCACTGCTCCTCTCTGAGCCTTAGTTTTCTCAATAACAACAACGATGACAATGACGGTGACAAAAATAATAGAGCATCAATAATAAGTGTCAATAGTTCTTACCCTGTGGCGAGCACCTGCTTTAAAAGCTAATCCAAGTCTCCAACACTCCACGCCACCTTCCCCACTGCTGCCCAGCAGAGTAACCATCTCAACTGCATCATTGGCTTCTTTTAAGAACTCAACTCAATTTCTTCTTTTTTTTTTTTTTTACTTAGCCTCCCCCTAAACACTGAAATCAAGGGGCTGAGGCATGATACTTAACTTTCTAAAGCTCAAAAAAGCTAACTCATGACTATTTTTTAAAGTTTACTCACATAAAACCTGAAATCATCCCATATGTTACTGACACTGAATGTACACGCTTTGGGAAACACTGCATTCACTCGTAGTTAATCCTCACAACAGCTTTAAGATGAAAATAGTATGATTATTCCATTTGACAGAAGGAGGAAATCGAGGCTCAGAGGGGTTAAGTGACTTGTCAAAAATCACACAGCCAGGAAGCGTCAGAGCAAGAATTTGAATCTGGGTCTGACACCAAAGCCAGCGCTCTTAACCATCATGTCAGCATTTCCCAAAGTATGTTCCAAAGAACACTATTCCGAGCAGACCTGCCTGCCTGAAAAAGCCTTCTCACCAGCAAATACAACTGGGAAACAGCACAGCCTGGATTCCCCTGCAGGGGAATGTGTAACGGACTCAAGTAAGTCCTGCGTTCATCTCTATTTGTTTTTCTCAAAGTTTTCAGCCTCAGAATCCTTTTTCAAGTCATACCCCACAGGTACCATCCTGTGTCCCTGCCACAGAAAGCAAGGGTTGGCACCAAATTGACCAGGCCCTTCCAGACTGCATCAATCCCCCAGACCACTCACCTGCCAGTGCTGAGGTCCAGGCTGCTGCCATAGGGAGAAGTGCGGAGGCCGAAGGGCGAGACCCGAAGCTGCAGCTGGGGCTGGGGTGGGGGTGGCAGACTGGGGGTGGCCGGCAGGGGTGCAGGGGGTGAGACAGGAGGCCGAGGGACCGGTGGAGGCGGTGGTTCCTTTGGGGGGAAAGGCACTAGCAGCGGGTCGGGCCCCGGGGGCTGTTCTTGGCTCCGCTCCAGGCCCGACACTTTAGGGACCACGGAGAGTTTTGCTTCACAGTTCCCATTGAAGGCGCCGTGGGGGCCCGAGGCTGTGGGGCAGGATGGCAGACATGCTCAGTTGAGGCTCATGCTCACCCCACTTCCCTCCCGTGCCTCCAGGCCCCAGACCTTGGGACCAACCTTTGCTGGTTGAGACAGTAAAGGATGGGTCGAGGTCATCATCGGAGACCTGGGGAAGAAGGGCAAGGGATAGAGTTAGGTTGTGGGCAGGCCAGGCCTCCATCCAGGAAGGCCAAATAGCCTTTGGAGGCTGCTAGGAACTGGCGGTAGTAGCAAGTCTGTTCCTTCAGTTTAGCTGAGATCCATCAAAGACTGGGCTCTAGCAGGGCTGAGCTTGGAGAAAGAGCAGAGTGGAGCAGCTGAGCCCAAGAATCCGATAGGCCAGGAGGACTAAATGGAGACAGCGTTGAAGCAGCAGAGAAGCAGGCAAACCAAACCAAAACGTCAGAGGTCACTAGCTGCTGGCCCACAGGCCTCCCTGACTTACAGATACATTTGGTCCACTTAAAACTTTTAGTAAAAGTTTTAAACCAACTGTAGATATTTAAGAATCCGGAGATTCCTCATTAAAACTCAGGCTTGCAGATTCCCTCAAGAATGGGCCCCCTGTTCTTGTAGCAACAGTCAGCCTAAACTAGACAGAGATGGATGAAGCAAATGGACAAGAACCCACTGGTTCACCACAGTCCTATCCAATCAACTTTTGAAACGAAAACAAGACACACATCAGAGAATGCAAATTGAGTTACTTACATGGGCCCAACGGCTACAGCATTCATTTCTAGGACATATTATCTCACAACAAGCAAATCACCCCTAAGGATAAACTCAAATACACCTTCATAAGCTGAGTCCCTACACTGACTACAATGGTTTCTGCTCAGACTTGAATCGACATCTGCATTCTAAGAAGAGGCTGATGACCAGCAGAAGGCCCATCTCAGTGCCACAGCCACTCTGGGTTTCCGTGGAGAACCAGAAGTAGCTCGAGGGCTTTGGAAAGAATAGTATGCTAAAGCATGGACCCTCCATTCCTTGGTCAGCTAGCCCTACTCACCAAAAGAAAAAATGACGCCATTTACCCTCCCAATCCACCCCCCTTCCTCCCAAAAACCTAATCCTGACTCAACCTAAGCCATGTTTCCCACTCAAGGGAAGGCTGTCTGCTGCACGTAGAAGGCCTTTGTGTTGCAGTCCCTTTTACAAGCAGTGACACTGCCCACCCAAGCTCTAGCCCCACTCACCCTCTCGTCCAGATCACTTTCCGCGTCACACTGGGGAGAAGGAAAGACAGAGGTGTCACGAGAGGGAAGAGGCCCAGGGTGGAGTGGGGAGGGGCCAGGACAGGTGGATAGCACTTACTATGTATCCAGCTTCCAGAGAGTGACGGGAGGACGCCTGAGGAAGACCAGAGTCCAGAGGTGAGGGAGGCGGCTGCTGAGGCGGCTGGGAAAGTCGCAGCTCCCAGCAGGGCGCTCATGGGCCTCCAGGATCTACTCTCAGCCTCTCCTTCCAGTTGCTTCTCCCGCCACTGCCCACCCGGGTCCCAGAGCTTTCGCCATTTCCTAAATATGCCGGGTCCTCACGTCTTCGTGCTCTTGCCCAAAACAACTTTTCCCCATCTCTTTTCTTAGCAAACTTCTGACTATACTTCAGGACCTGACTAAGACATCCTAGGGGGCTTTCCCCAACCACAACTCTCCTCCCATCCCCCAGGCAGCACAAGCGGCTTCCTCATGTGGGTTTCTGTAGCATCTCTCCCCATCTTTGCTTTCTGTAGCTTCTCAAGTTTAGGTCTAGGTGTTTGCTTCCTATTTCTTTCCTGCTGGACTGCCACCACCTCGAGGAAGGGCAGGGACCTTATGACCCAACTAAGTTCCTTTGATGCCTCTCTGAATTATCAAAACGTTTGAAGTAGACACAGAACCAGGCAAAAGTAGGTGCACCTAACTGTAGAAAGGCCTTCGTCAGACCCAGATGAGAGTGAGGGCTCAAATTTTCCCTGCTTGCCTCTTTGCCCTTAGAGACTGGGGTCACTGTTTACAAGGGACAGTGGCGTTGCTGACGAAAAACGGGGCTGTGGGAAATACATTCTGCCTAAAGAGTTTTAAAGGACAAGCTCACCTCTTTTCTTCTCCGCTTATTGGGCCATTTTCTGGCCCGATCCCCAGGGGGCCGGCCAGGCTCCCGATCAGAGCTGTCCCCTGGCTCCCCGGTGGCCCCACTGGAGCCCCCCCTCTTCCGCTTCCCAGAATGCTTCAGCCGATGTTCCAGTCGCTCTGGGGGCTGAAGAGATGCATCCTTCTGTGGAGAAGGATGTGGGGCTGAGGTGGATGGAAAAGGGCAAGCTCCCGACCCCTCTAGGGATGACCAAGCTGCCTAAGTACCCCTCAAGCCGGGAAACCGGGTCCCCAGAGACAAGCTCTACCTCCTCCCACCCCAGGGCGGGGCAGAGGCCTGGCCAGAGGAGCCGGTTGCTCTGGTTTGGGGTGCCAGCATTCCCCCCTCAACTCCACCCACTCGGGGCACTGCACCCTCCTTGCTGCCCCTCGGAAACCCCCAAAGCCCCCCAGGCCCATTAGGCCCCACCTGCAAGGCCTCGAGGGTGGCGAAGCTGGCGATGGCGAAGCCATCGATCAAGTCCTCCTCCTCCTCTTCCTCCTCCTCAGGCTCCTCCTCGGCTTCTCCGTCGTCTGCGCCCCCCTCCTCCTCCTCCTCCTCCTCCTCCCCGCGGCTGCCCGAGCCGGCAGGCCGCTTCCGAGCTCGGGGTCGCGGGGGTCGAGGTCTCGGACGGGGCCGCCGGCGTCTCGGGCCCCCGGGCCGCTCTCCAGACGAAGCTGACGACCAAGGCCTGGCAGGCGGCGGAGGCGACGACGAGGACGAGGAGCCGCGCGGGGCGGCCAACAGGGCCCGGGGCGCGTCGCCGCCTGGACCTCGGCGGCGCCGCTGCTCCCGGTCTCGGTCTCGGCGCGAGCAGCGCCGCCGCCGCCGCTCCCCCTCCGCTGCCCAGCCCGGGCCCGGGGCCGCGGCCGCTGCCGCTGCCGTCTCCATGGCGACCGCCCTCAGCGCCGCATCCGGAGGCGGCGGGGCCCGAAGCGGCCTGTCCGCAGGCCCGGGGTCGCAGGCGCGGCGCTGGCGGCTACACAGGGACGAGAGGGCCACGGCTTCCCCTTTAAAGCCGGATCTGCTGGCCCCAAGCTTGCCCCAAGGCCACGGCCCGGGAAGCCGGCGCCGCCCCCGGGGCGACAAGCCCGAGGGCCCCCCCTGCGGGCTCGGCGGGGCCGCGACGGCGAAAACGGGGCGGCCGTCCCTTTAAGGCGAGGCCTCAAGTTGTCCAGCCCCTGGCCCCTTTAAGACGACCCGACAGTGTCCGGCGGTCTAGTGCGGTGGCCGCCCCCTGCCAGGGGTCGAGGCAAGTCTCCCCGAGGAAGAGGAAGGGCCACCCCTTTAAAAGGGGCAGAAAGCTCGCCCGAAACGCAGACCTCCCCTTTAAAAGTGTCTCAAGTCCTCCGGCTCAAAGAGGCCACCCCTTTAAGGAGCCCAGGGTCCTTCACACAGCAGGCCGTCCCTTTAAGGGCTCGGAGTTAGTTTCTAGTCCTCCACAAGCGGCCACTTCCCCTTTAAGTTGAATTTAAAAGACTTCTTGCGTGTGGGGGAGGAGGAGGTAAATAAAAACCCCACTCGCCCCAGTTCTCCCAACGGCACAGTTCTCAATTTGTCAGCGTCTATTCGGCGGCTTCCCCTTTAAGGCTGGCGTTGGAGTGCGCCGAGTTCAGTGGCCACCCCTTTAAGGAGATTTAAAGGGGCCTCCTCCGGGCCCAGCTCCTCCAGCCTCCGCCTCCGGTCGCCATGAAAGGCGCGAGGCGGGGCGAGGCCGCGGGGCCAGCCCTCCAAAGCCCCGGATGTGAGGCAACGGTGACGGGTACAGCTCCTCTGTCCGCCGACATAAAAGTCTCTTCCTCTTTTCCTCCGTCTCTGTCCGACTTGGGCCTTAAGGAATCCGGAACGGCCGATGGGCAGCGGGGGACCTCCAGCGCAAACTCCTGTTGTCTCCTTTGGAGTCTTGGGGCGCTTCTCCGCCAGGACTTCCCTGCCCCTCCTCCCTCTTCCTACTCAGCCTACACCTCCTTCCTCTCTTGGCCTCCTCCCACTCTCCGCCCCCTTCCCCTCGCCCCCTCCACGGGCGCAGTCGCTGATAGGTTGAGAGGGCTACGTCAAGGCGAGGGGCGGAGCCAAACCCGAGGGAGTGGGTGCATGTAACCGCCCTCAAATCTTGGATTGGGTTACGTCAGATTGGCTCCGCCCTTCCCCCAGTCTTGTGACTCGACTGGTTAGAAGTAGGTGTTTGGGGAGGTGCCCGCAGGGCCCCGCCTCTTCCTGCTGTTAGTTTATTGGCCAGTCTCCTGATGGCGTCGAGGCGAGGGGCGGAGACGCGGGGCCTGAGGCGTTGGGGGCGGTTGGCCGCTGGGGGGCGCGCGGATGCGAGAGATTCTGTTCCACAGCCAGTTAAGTCATCGCCGCCTTTCCGCCGCTCGGCGCGGCCCGCAGACGGCCTGGCGTCTTGCGCACGCGCGTGGCGGCGCCGCCGCCCGGCTGGCGGCTGGCGGGTTGTTCCGCGGTGCCGGGTGGCTCGAGCGGCCGCGTGCTGTGCCTGCGCCGGCCGCACTAACAGGCAGCCGTGTCCCTTCCAGGCGAGGCTGCTGGCAGCGGTCTCCGAGCTCTAGCAATTCGAAAACACCTTGCACTTGCATGAGCGCTTCTCCGCGTTAGTGACTGCGTTTGGTAATAATTCCACGAGGGAGATGCTGTCAGCCCACTTTACTGGGACAGAGGAAAGGGCGCACAAACGGGCTGGTAGTCTCCTAGCCACGTCTGTGTTCAGCCACTGCCCTGTGATGCCTCTCACCTATGAAAGATGCACCCCACTGCTCAATGTGACTGGCTTAAAAAAAAAGACAGAGGAAGCCATTTCTGGCCTCCAGTTGCCCAGGTTACCGTTTTGAAAGTGGACAGCGCGCTGACATGCCTGCCTTGCTTTCTCATCCATAAAATGACTAATTCCTTGTCGCAGGGACATGTGCAGGTCAAACACCTATGACAGTCGTCTTGAGTGCTTCATTATGGCCCATTACCCTTAGCTCTTTTTGTTTTGTTTTTGTTTTTTTGGGGGGACAGTCTGGCTGTGTCCCCCAAGCTGGAGTGCAGTGGTGCAATCTCAGATCATTGCATCCTCCACCTCTCGGGTTCAAGTGATTCTCCTGGCTCAGCCTCCTGAGTAGCTGGGATTACAGGTATGCACCAAGACGCCCAACTAATGTTTATATTTTTAGTGGAGACGGGCGTTTCACCATGTTGGCCAGGCTGGTCTCAAACTCCTAGCCTCTTGTGATCCACCTGCCTCAGCCTCCCAAAGTGCTGGGATTACAGGCGTGAGTCACCGCACCTGGCCTGCCTTAGCTCTTGAATCCAGCAGCAGGTCCTGACCTGCATGTTAGTAGGAATTCAGGGCCATCTTGATCTTCAAGGCCTTGACCCACTATAGGCCTTTCAGTCTCTATATAAATGAATTGGGTGAACCCAGACCAGGGTCTAGGGTCACAGTATCATCTGACACTGCTTCAGAAGTGTCCCTCCACACAGGAGAATCCTCTAATCAAGAAAATATCTCTAGGCTGGGCATGGTGGCTCATGCCTGTAATCCCAGCACTTAGGGAGGCCAAAGCGAGTGGATCACCTGAGGTCAGAAGTTCGAGACCAGCCTGGCCAACATGGTGAAGCCCTGTTTCTACTAAAAATACAAAAATTAGTGGGTGTGGTGGCGCATGCCTGTAGTCCCAGCTACTTGGGAGGCTGAGGCAGGAGAATTGCTTGAATGCCGGAGACAGAGGTTGCAGTGAGTCAAGATCGTGCCATTGTACTCCAGTACTCCAGCCTGGGTGACAAGAGTGAAACTCCATTCCTATCTATCTATCTATCTATCTATATCTCAAGTGACCACTCCACCCCCTCCCTGTACTCTATACCCAACGCCTGTCACCATCTCTGGCACCAGTCCCAGTTCCCAGACCTTTGGGGGTCAACGTAGAAACATCAGCCAAATCAATCTTAAACTCAGCTAGAGATACAAAAGAATCAGAAACATATCGAAAACTTTACTAGAAATATAGAGAAAAAAAAAACTGCGTGGGAGATTTCCCATCCCTTAAGAATGGATGACAAACAGATAGGGCACCTAGGTCCAGTGGGGCTGCTCCCCATCTACTGTTTCTTCCTCTAGGAGCAAGGCGTCTAGCTCCTCCAGCCGCTGCTGGAGCAGGGGGCCCACATCAGGGCTGGGGGCCACATGGGGAGGAACAGTCCTGCCCCCTGCAGCCCGGACCCCACGGGATGGCCGTCGTGATCGAGGAAGGCTGCTGTCCCGAAATTCCACAGCCCGCCGGAGCTTCCTTGAGCTGGTGAAAATCAGAGTCCCATTGCGCTCCCGGGGTTCCTCGAAGATGGTCTCAAAGGTCCTGGACGAGGCAGGGAGAGGAGCTGGTTATCAGCGTGCCCCATAGCTCCAGACTTCCCTCTGCCACCCTCAAGCCTTCCAAGTGTCTCACCTTCTGGTTGTGGGTGACTGGTAATTCTTGTTGGTGTAAATTTCTTCCAAGCTGAACTCCTTCTTGTTCAACCTGTAAGCAAAGAGCAGAGGCCACTGAGAAACCTTGGGCCAGTGGGGCCTGAAGGGACAGGTAAGGCCTGGTCTGTATTTCAGTTTCTGGGACATGTCAGGGCCAGGAGTGCTACATATGGCAGACAGGCAATTTTGAGCACAAACCATGCCCACGCCCAACTGAATCCTTCAGACTGGACTGTGCTCCCTGAGGGGAGACAAAGCTATACTTCAGGGGACATGAGCCTGCATCTGTTTGGCCAAGACGGATCAATGCCCAATGATCCCCTCACCTGATTGGTCGAGGCAGTCCCATTGGTGTAAGGTTTAGCTGAGGACGGGCTGGTGTTCTGCGTATTCTGAATCGAGAAACCTTTCCTATGGTCTGCAAAAATGGGGCAGAGGGTGAAAGAGTGACATGGGCTCAGGCCCCCACTAGTCTCTTCTACCCAATCTGAATGCCTACCTTGGTCTCAGGGTCTGAAAGCACCTGGTCCTTTGAGGCTCTTGGCTCCTTCCCTTTGGTTGAACCCAACCTGCCAAGAAGGTCAAGGCTCAGGGACAAACAGGATTCACTGCATTATCCCCCATCTCCTGCCCGCTGGATACTCAGGGAAGGAGGCTGGGACCAGGCTGCGGCTAGGCTTCGAGGGGGGTTTTTTGAGAGCACTACCTGGGTTCTGCTGGTTCGGAGAAGGAGGAAGTGGATGCCGTGGACGAGCAAGATGTGGCGAGAGAAGGGGAGGCTCCCATTCCTCCGAGAGGGAAGACCTCTTTCCGGAGACAGGGCCGAGGGGGTGGCGGGGCTCGGGCCATTTCCCCACCACCCACAGTGTGCCGCCGCGGCCGTGGCCGGCTTGGTTGGGGTGGAGCAGGTGGCCAGGTGCAGGTACCTGGGCCAGGGGGCCCCAGATCAGGGCAGGAGTAGCTTCGGCCCAGAGAGGGCTTAAGAAGAGGTGCTGGGGTATTGTGGTCCTGAGCCCGCCACTGGCGGATGGGGGGTCGGGGGCTGACAGACGCAGTGCCCTCAGCAGCCCCAGACTGCTCAGCCTCTGAGATGGCGATCTTCAACTCCAGCTTCATTGGGGGGGACGGGGGCGGGGGCTGTGGGGTTTTGTTGGGTGTGAGGAAGATGTCAGCAAAGCTCTCCAGCTTGGAGCGGACGGAACGGAAGAGCGGGGCCAAGCCCCAGGGACTGAGGCGGGGGCGTAAAAGGCTGGACGGTGGTGGGGTGGATGGGAGCTCCAGAGCAGGATCTGGGGCTGAGGAAAGGAGAGGTCACAGGTGGATATTCCTTGGCTGCAGTGTCTCAGCCCCTCCTCAGTAGCCTCAGCCCCTCCCTGCATGCTCAACTTTGTGCACAGAGGAATTAGCCCACCCCTAAAACACTAAGTTCTGCATTTAAGAATTGAGCTTCAAGTCTCTGACATCGTCATCCCATCTTCATATACCATGCCCTGCCCTGGGAGGGTAAGCCCTATCCCCACCTCTGTACCTGACACTTCCAAGCTCAACTAGGATGTTCTAGACCCCCAAGTCTCATCTGATCTCTACCCAAGTCCTTACCTGGTGGTGGGCTCTCTGGAGGGTCTGCAGGCAGAGCAGATGGCTGGAATGGGGGTTCTCGGTCCCCGGGTGGAGGTGTTGGCTGGTGAACTATCTTCATGGGCTCAGCTCTGGGGTGAAGGGCAAAGTAAAGGCTAGGGGAACTTCCAGGTATCCCACCTGAGCCAGCAACTCCCCTATCCCTTAAGGCTTCTTCTTCTTCTTCTTTTTTGTTTTTTTTTTGAGACAGAGCCTTGCTCTGTGGCCCAGGCTGGAGTGCAGGGGCACAGTCTCAGCTCACTGCAGCCTTGAACTCCATCCCGGGCTCAGGCAATCCTCCCACCTCAGCCTCCCAAGTGGCTAGAACTACAGGCAAGGACCACCACATCCAACTAATTTAAAACAATATTTTGTCTGAGCTTGGTGGCTCACACCTGTAAATCCTAGCACTTTGGGAGACCAAGGCGGGTGGATCACCCAAGGTCAGGAGTTCAAGACCAGCCTGGCCAACATGGTGAAACCTCGTCTCTACTAAAAATACAAAAATTAGCCGGGCATGGTGGTGGATGCCTGTAATCCCAGCTACTGGGGAGGCTGAGGCAGGAGAATCACTTGAACCCAGGAGGCGGAGGTTGCAGTGAGCCGAGATCGTACCATTGCACTCCAGCCTGGGCAACAGAGCAAAAACTCCGTCTCAAAAATAAACAAATAAATAAACAAAACAATGTTTTTGTAGAGATATGGCCTCACTATGTTGCCCAGGCTGGCCTCAAACTCCTGGGCTCAAGCGATTCTCCTGCCTCGGCCTCCCAAAGTGCTGGCATTACAGGCGTGAGTGTGCCTGGCCCCTTAAGACTTTTTAAGATGTCACAAGGAAGGATTGGATCAATCAGTCCCGATGCCCCTAGCTCTGGCTACCTGGATGATGGCTGTTGCCTGGATCCTTTGATAATCCCTACTCCAGCTCTCTCACCTTTGTGCTGGGATGATGAAGTTGGGGGTCTCATCAATGAAGCCCTGGATAAAAATAGGGGAATGTTTGTGGGGAGGCAGGGAAGCCTCCTTAGTGCCCCACATCCTGACTCTTTCAGTTCCCAGATACCTGCTTGGGTTCATGCCAAAGAGGTTTTTATATAGTCTTTGCTCAGGTAGTGCCTGCCACCTAAAATGCCACTCTCCTCACCCCAAGAAAAATCCACCTAAGACTCAGGCCTCCCACCCTTCTTCTATCCCTGCTGGAACCCAGTAGAACCCTTGATATCCATACCCTCAGTTCCCATACCTCAGCTGGGGGTCTAGGACTGGCAATGTCTTCCAGCATCACCACCAGGGTGGGCTGGGGGGCCTGGTCCACCTTTTGTGAAGGGCCCTCCTCTGGGCCAGGGGTTGTTCTTGATCGCCGCCTCAGGGTGGAAGAGGTCCGGTGGACGCGGCTCAAGGGCTCGCGACACAAACACAGAGGATCGGGAGGCCTAGGGAGGGAACGGGAAGATTAGAAGGGCTCAGCTGGGCCCTTGGTTTACCCCCATCCTGCCATGCTCACCTGGCCTTCGAGGACCACCCGGCCTGCCGGGGTGGTGAGGCAGGAGGCTGCATGTGGACAGGATCCTGACGGCTGTGGTGCTGTGGGATGGAGGTCTCCTTTGAGGGTACCACGGGGCCCTGGAAGAGAAAGAGGTGTCAAGAGCAAGGTGATGGAATGAGGCTGGATGGGACAAGGTCTCCCTGTGCCTAACAGTGCCCTGAGCCACAAACATAACAGAGATTAGGGCTAGAATTCACTCGGATCCCCAGAGAAGAGATGAATTGGACTGAATTAGGGGCCAGATATTAAGAGTCCTAAACTGCAGGTGTGGGACCTGGGTAATCTCACCCACGCTGTTTAGGGAAACAGACAGGGTGAGCTAGGGTGGGTCACTGCCTTTTTTGGGCCACAGTTTTTCTTATCTGTGCAGTGGAGTCAAAGACCTCAGCCTGCTTCCTAAGGAGGCTGGGCTGGGAAGAAAGCAGAAGAGTTTCAGCCCGGCGCCGTGGCTCACGCCTGTAATCCCAGTACTTTGGGAGGCAGAGATGGGAAGATCACTTGATGCCAGTTTGAGACCAGCTTGTGCAACATAGCAAGACCCTGTCTCTACAGAAAAAAAAAAAAAAAAAAAGAAAAAAAAAAAGATAAAAAAAAAAGAGAAGAGTTTCTCAGAGTTACAGGGATGTGGTTCCATCCCAAAAAGGTTGGTGGGGGGAACGGGCACTGCCCAATTCTAGGTTGGAGTAAGTGGGAGCCAAGCAGGACTCTAGCATGAGGGAGGCTGCCTGAGGGATGGGTACAACAATGATGGATTTGGACTTCAGTTATCCTCAGTAGCGATCTGGCCCGAGTTTGGTAGTGAGGAAAGTCAGGGGAGAATAGAGGGTCTCTCGGTTCAGGGGGCTCACCATGTGAACAGCCATGATATCTTCCAGCACCACGGCCAGGACCCGCCGAGAGGCCTTTTCCAGGGGAGAAGGGGCCCCCGGGGGCTGCAGCCTCGGCCGTTTCGGGCTCCTGGCTCCCCACAATGCTCGAGTCAGAGGCTGGCGGCACAGACGCGCCTGGCCAGGCGGGCTGGAGGGTGAAAGAAGCAGAGGACGGTCGCCCGAACCTGTCGCTGGCTCTGTAGTTTCCCGGCACGGCCGCCAGGATCCCCATCTCCCGGGGTCAAGACAGGCGGGCCGGGTGCGCTCTCACCTGGGGTCCCCGGGCAAGTCCATGGGAGACGCGGCGGCTCCAGGGGGTCCCTGGGGAATCCCAGGCTGCGGCCTGGGGTAAGGGGGGAGCGGGGGAGCGTGGGGTGAGGGTTGGCCCCTTCCCTGGGGCTCCGCCCTTCATGGTCCGCCCGCGGCTCCCCGTAGCCCAGCGGCCGCAGCCCTGGGGCGCGAAAGGGCGCCCCCGGTCGGTCGCCCGGAGCGGGTGTCCTCCCGCTGCCACCGCCTCGATCAGCGGATCACTCGCGCCCTGCCTGGCACCTGCCGCCAGAACCCAGAATGCAGCGGCCCCAGTTCTCCCGCGGCCCGAGCCTCCCGAGGCCTTTGTCCCTGCAGATTGTGCCCCGGGATCCACGGGGATCCCGGTCCTGGGAGGCTATTTCCGCTGGATCCCTCTGTGATCCTCCTCCTCTCACAGCGAGTGGCCGAGGACTCCAAAGCAATACTGCACACATCGACGACCCTCCCTCCCACCAGATCCCCTAGACTGGATCCCTGAGGAAAGAATCCTACAGCGCGGTTCCGCCAATCAGACGCCGGGCGAGGCTTCTCCTTCCCCTGTGAGCTTCGGCGCCGCAAAGCTCCTATCAGACAGGGGCGGCCCGAGCTGGAGCATCTCCGAACTCAGCCTAGATCCCCAGGGATCCACTGTCAAGTAGATACCCCCTTCACTCCAATCCCGGGAGGTCCCGCCCACAAACGCCCCCTCCCTCCTTGCGTCCCCGCCCAGCGGTCTCCCCCGGCCCAAGACCAGATGGTTCAGAAGTTTCCTTCCCCGCCCCACCCCCGCCCTCTCCAGCCACTCCTTGCCCTCCCCAAACCGCTGCTCACCGCCGCCTCCCGTGGATCCCGGGTCTTCCGCAGCTCCCACCTCCGGCTCCTTTAAAACCAAGCTTACCCAAGGCTGCCCAACCGCCGATGGCCTTCTTATCGGGGCCTCTGGACACCGCCCAATCGCCGGTCCCCGTCTTCCGGGGTGGTGAAAAACTAAGTGAAGCCACCTGGCGGCCATCATCCCTAGGGGCAGGAAGCCAAGCTGAGTGGCGCCGCCATGATGGTTGAGGGCAGATGTCTTAGTCCTCGTTGAACCATGGTGGACTGGGTGGCGTCATCTTTTGAGGGCCACATACAATGCCAGGTTTCTTGATATGTTGAGGCAACCGATTGAAGCTAGAGTGCCGCCACGTTTTTTAAGGGCACCTTCCGGTTCTTTGGTTCTTAGACCAATAAACGTCGACTGAGTGCTAACGATATGCGAAATTCCCAATTTCCTAGAGTGGCCTCGTTTGAGGAAGGTTCCGGCACCTTCCTGCGTTCCTAAATTGGGTTCCCACAACCCAGGGTCCGAGTTTAGGAGTGGGTGGCGGAGGCCCTGACTCCGAATATCCGGGATCGAAGACGGGCTGGTGCGGCCTGTGGCTCCGTTGCTGGCGCCTTGTCCTGGAGATATGGGGCCGAGCCGAAGTGGGGAGGAGACTGGGGGCGCTGAGCTTGACTCCCCCTGAGTTTTGTCTACGGTACTTCTTTCCGGAGGATTGGGGCTGCCCGCGGTCCGCGCAGAGGGCTACAGGACAGGGGCGTCTTTGCAGGAGGCCAAGAATATAGCTTGGCTTGCTCGTGGGGCCCGGCTCTCAGGAACCACTCTCTCAAAAGGGGCCTTCATGATGGGGGAGGTGTAAATAGTTCTGAGGAGTAAGGGATCAGGGTGAGACGCTGTTGCTTGGAGGAGCTGCGTCATGGACCGTTTACCGGGAGCTGGGCTATTGGTGGGGAGGAAGTGGGCATGTAGTGGCTTCTTGTAGCACTATGAAGGTGACCTGACCGCTTAACCAAAGCCCGTGTCTGTGCTAGTTTCTCCTTCTCCAGATTCCCTGATCCAAACCAGTCCTCCTTTTCTTTTTTATTTATTTTATTTTTTTTAAATTTGAGGCAGGGTCTCGCTTTTTTGCCCAGGCTGGTCTTGAACACCTGGGCTCAAGTAGTCCTCCCGCCTCAGCGTCCCAAAGTGCTGGGATTACAGGCGTGAGCGCTCAGCCCCAGTCCTTATCTTGTTTTCTTAACAGAACGAGAGACCCTGAAGCCTAGAATCCTGGGTCCGAGATAAGGTGCAGAGGTGCTTCCTGGTCTAGGTGTCATAATTCTTTCTCAGGGGATTGAGTGAAGAAAGTGATAAAACAGGGCCGGGTGTGTGCTGGCTCACACCTGTTATCCCAGCACTTTGGGAGGCAGAGGATGGCGGATCACTTCAGGCCAGGAGTTCAAGACCAGCCTAGGCCACATGGCAAGACCCCATCTCTACAAAAACAAAAAACAAAAAATAAGCCGAGCATGGTGGCGTAAGCCTGTAGTCCCAGCTACTCAGGAGGCTGAGGTGGGAGGCTCTCTTAAGCCTGGGAGGTCGCAGCTGCAGTGAGCTATGATCACGCCACTGCACTCTAGGCTGGGCGACAGAGACCCTGTCTCAAAACAGACAAACAAGGGATGATATGGAAAGAGCATAATCGGGAAATGGAAATGAAATGGAAAGAGCTTATGTGGGAAATGGAGGCTCCCCAGCTCTGTCCCTAAGGACTCAGGCAGGGAGACCTTCTTCCAGGACTACAGCGTCTCTGGAACAGGAGATCCACTGGGCCCTCTGGAAACGCATTCAGACTTCTGGTGGGAGCAGGCCATGGGTCTTCCACGTAGAGGCGTTCTCTCTCCCACTGGATCAGGCCTGGCAGTATGGTGCCTGAGGAGGTACAGTGATGTTTCATTCAGCTATGAGTGCTTGGAGATTCTTCCAACCTTGCCAAATTAGGAGCTAAGCCCCACAAGTGCTTTTCAGGCCCCAGGGCAGGAAAAACCTTCAAAAGCAGAGCAGGCCTAACCTGAGTTTTTAGGTATTTTTTATTTGTTTGTTTTTGAGATTCTCTGTCACCCAGGCTGGAGTACAGTGGCGCCATCTCAGCTTACTGCAACCTCCGCCTCCTGGGTTCAAGTGATTCTCGTGCCTCAGCCTCCCAAGTACCTGAGACTACAGGTGCTAACCACCATGGCTGGCTAGTTTTTTGTATTTTTAGTAGAGACGGGGTTTCACCATGTTAGCCAGGATGGTCTCGATCTCCTGACCTCGTGATCCACCCACCTCGGCCTCCCAAAGTGCTGGGATTACAGGCTTGAGCCACCGCGCCCGGCCTATTTGTTTGTTTTTTGAGATTCTCTGTCACCCAGGCTGGAGTACAGTGGCGCCATCTCAGCTTACTGCAACCTCCGCCTCCTGGGTTCAAGTGATTCTCGTGTCTCAGCCTCCCAAGTACCTGAGACTACAGGTGCTAACCACCATGGCTGGCTAGTTTTTTGTATTTTAAGTAGAGACGGGGTTTCGCCATGTTGGCCAGGCTGGTCTCGAACTCCTGGCCTCAAGTGATCGGCCTGCCTTGGCCTCCCAAAGTGCTGGGATTACAGGCATGAACCACCACGCCGGACCCTAATCTGAGTTTTGATTCTCTAGGTCTCTTGAAGTCAGTGGCACCAAGGGCAAAAGATGTAGTCCAAAGAAAAGCCCTGGACCTGAGTATTTGGTAGGAAGAGCCCACCAGTGTGACCCTAACTTGGAGTGCTAGAATTCATCAAATGGAAATGTAAGGTAGACTGTGGCAGTCTTGGCCCTTAGCCTAGGCCAGCAAATGTGAGTCCTCATGGTCTTGCAGTCTCACCTCTGCTCTTTTTGTGACTTTCCATTTCAACAACTTCTACTTTGCCCACTCCCTACACAGGTGGTGGACATACTGTGGGGTGTACCCCAGTGTATGCTGCTGATGCAGTAGCAAGAGGGCCCCACACAGACTCCAGTGGGGCTGCTGGTGTGGCCATTGGTGCACTTCGGTGTGTCATTATTCAGAAACCCAGGGTCCGTTTCGACTGTGGGTGACCCATCTTTCTTTTTTCCTTTCTTAGACAAGGTCTTGGTCTGTCACCCAGGCTGGAGTACAGTGGTGCGATCATGGCTTACTGCAGCCTTGACCTCCTGGGCTCAAGTGATCCTCCCACCTCAGCCTCCCGAGTAGCTGGGATTACAGGTATGCACCACCATGCCCAGCTAATTTTTGTATTTTTAGTAGCGACAGGATTTCGCCATGTTGGTCAGCCTGGTCTTGAACCCCTGAACTCAGGGGATCTGTCCGCCTTGGCTTCCCAAGTGCCGGGATTACAGGCATGAGCCACCGTGCTCCGCCAGTGATATATATATATATATACACACACACATATATATATGTATATTTTTAATTTTTAGTACAGACAAGGTCTTGTTATGTTGCCCAGGCTGGTCTCAATCTCCTGGGCTCAAGAGATCCTCCTGCCTCAGCATCCCAAAGTGCTGGGATTACAGGCATGAGCCACCATGCCTGCCATCCTGAGAGTTTGGAGTTTATGTCACTGCATTTATATTCCTGTGTGCAAGATTATCACTGGGTCTGCTGCTTTCCTCAGCTTCAGTCCCTCTCCACCCTGAAGTACTTGGTTCAGCCAACTTTCAGCACATTCCTGCCAGTTTAGCTCTCCTGATGAGGAGCTTTCTAGACTTCCCCCAGGGGTTCCTCTACTTTGGCCAGCTACCTCAGGTCGCTACATTTTTTTTTTTTTTTTTTTTTGAGAGAGAATCTTGTTCTGTCATCCAGGCTGGAGTGCAGTGGCTCAATCTCAGCTCACTGGAACCTCTGCCTCCCAAATTCAAGCGATTCTCATGCATCAGCCTCCCAGGTAGCTGGGACTACAGGCACATGCCTCCACACCTGGCTAATTTTTTTTTTTTTTGGAGACCGCTTCTGGCTCTGTTGCCCACGCTGGAGTGCAGTGGCGAGATCTCGGCTCACTGCAAGCTCCGCCTCCCGGGTTCGCGCCATTCTCCTGCCTCAGCCTCCCTAGTAACTGGGACTACAGGTGCCCGCCACCATGCCCAGCTACTTTTTTGTATTTTTAGTAGAGATGGGGTTTCACCGTGTTAGCCAGGATGGTCTCGGTCTCCTGACCTCGTGATTTGCCCACCTCGGCCTCCCAAAGTGCTGGGATTACAGGCATGAGCCACCGTGCCCGGCCTATTTTTTGTATTTTTAGTAGGAGACGGGGTTTCACCATGTTAGCCAGGATGGTCTTGATCTCCTGACCTCGTGATCCGCCCGTCTCGGCCTCCCAAAGTGCTGGGATTACAGGCTTGAGCCACCATGCCCAGCCCAAAGATATTTTCAAATTTTGAACCTTTCACTTCCACTGAATGTGACCTTTGTTGTTGTTGTTGTTGCTGTTGTTGTTTGACACAGGATCTTGCTCTGTTACGCAGGCAGCAGTGCAGTGGATGGATCTTGGCTCACTGCAGCCCTGGCCCCCTGGGTTCAAGCAGTCCTCCTGCCTCAGCCTCCTGAGTAGCTGGGACCTACAGTCACATACCTCCACACTCTGCTAATTTTTATTTTTATTTATTTATTTTTTTTTGAGATGGAATCTCACTCTGTCACCAGGCTGGAGTGCAATGGCACGACCTTGCCTCACTGCAACCTCCACCTCCCGGGTTCAAGTGATTCTCCTGTCTCAGGCTCCCAAGTAGCTGGGACTACAGGCACATACCACCATGCCCAGCTAATTTTTGTATTTTTAGTAGAGACGGGGTTTCACTATGTTGACCAGGATGGTCTCAATCTCTTGACCTCGTGATCCACCTGCTTTGGCCTCCCAAAGTAATTTTTAATTTCTTTTTTTTTAGTATAGACGAGGTCTCACTAAAGCCCAGGCTGGTC